CTCATGTTTTTCTCTATTATTGATTATGACTGTGTTTAACACCCTTTTAAAAATTAGAATTCATTATTTAAGCAGGAATTTTTGTAACAAAATATTATTTTAAAACGTTTATTACACATTGAAATATTATCAAGCAAAAATATCATTGCCCATTTATATCTTTAAGACTATGTTAAAAAACTCTAGTGAGGCGTCTACTATCACAGATGAATTTAATAAAAGAACATCCCTGAAAGATAATAATAAAAAAAAAAACATGAAGTCAATGGAGTGATGGCCAGCAGCCCAGACTGTTCCTTTGGTGTCTCTTCATTCAGTATTGAGAGCTGGTTTAATTATGTAAATGTATCTAGTATATGAATGTTAATAACTTCTATTTAAATGAAATAAATAAAAATTCTACATCTCCTTAGCCTATTACATTTTATTTGAATTCCTGAGTGTGGTCAGTACATGTGAAGTCACACAGTTGACAAAATTGATCACAATGGAGTCTAAGTCAGTCAGATTCTTGTCCAACTGGAAGCACATGGTGATTTAATCAGTGTTGATAAGAGATTAGGAGTTTCACTTTAGACTTGGACTATTGTGAAGGGTATGCTCCTTTTATTAAGTTCTCACAAACTCACTAATGCCTGACTTAAAATATTTCCTGTCTTAATGAATAAGGACATCCATTTACTTTTCATAAAATTTTAAATTTATTCTATTTTGTAAACACCACCTCCCTATGATATACATTTTGCTTTGTAGTCTCTCTTTGTCTCTTTCTCTTTCACTCTCTCTCTCTCCCCGGTATGCTCCTTTTATTAAGTTCTCACAAACTCACTAATGCCTGACTTAAAATATTTCCTGTCTTAATGAATAAGGACATCCATTTACTTTTCATAAAATTTTAAATTTATTCTATTTTGTAAACACCACCTCCCTATGATATACATTTTGCTTTGTAGTCTCTCTTTGTCTCTTTCTATTTCACTCTCTCTCTCCCCCCCTCTCTCTCTGACACACACATACACACACACACACACACACACACACATCACTCCATAAATGCACATAGATTAAAGACCACAAAGAAGTGATTCACTCTACCACCAATAATAGTCTTTGGACTGACCTTGTAAAGCAGTGGTAATTTTCCTAATTTCAAGAGTGCAATTTGATTTGTTGTATTTTTCATTCTTGTGATCCTTTTTAAGTCATCTGTAGTTCCATAACCCACATCGATGACATCAGCCTGAAGGAGGAGAAAGAAGAATAAAGAGTTGCAGTGAGACTATCGCCAGTTCCCCAATGAACAGAACAAAGCTATTTGTAATAATTCAATTCATCAAAAGAGAACTGCTTTATCTCTTACTCTGTCCCAGTTATGACAAATCTTTCTCTTTGTATCAGAGTATATGATGCCTCCAATCACTAGGAGAAAGTTTGAGTCACTGATGTTCCACTCTCTCCATCCGACAAAAGTTAAAGATTCAATCTATTCCTCTAAGGTACCATAAAGTTGGGATATTTTTGTGCTCATGTTTCTAGAGTTTGGGTCATTTTAGAAAACATTTAAAGATTAATGTCCTTGAAGTTCAGCAATAAGCATATCAATCTCAGGGTTGCAAGCATTCAATATTTCATTATTATCAAGTACAAAGACCTTTATGTGAATGATTGTCCACAGCTGTTCAAGTTGTTCACCTGACAGCTGTGAGTGACGGTTCCATGTGTTGCATGCGGTACCAATCTATGGAGCCCCATGTACAAATCTGGCATTCCAGGCCCTGAAAAATATGGTTCCAAATAACTAAGTCACAACTCCACCACACCTTATCCCTAGTCCTATAGTCTACATTTCCTTCCCTTAAAAGTCCTCCTTTTCTCAGATGCAATGTTGATGATTTTGTGGACAATCGATGAGGAGCTTTTTGGCCCTTCAGTGTGCTCTTCCTTGCAAAATTCTGACCTCAGGACCTGTCAATCATGTTCCTAGCAAACAAAACGATTTCTTCAAGTATGTTTTCTATGAATTTTATTCTTAAGGTCATTGTTCTCATGGGTTCTAATGTATACCATAATATGAATGTGTTGCTTTGAATTAGAGCTCACTCTAGACATGCCTTGGAGCGTGCAAAGAGTCAGAGAAATGGAGAGCAAAAACACAGACCACTAAGATTCCACCCTCTTATTTGGAACTAAAGCACTTCAGCTGGCCGGACACTACAAACTTCAATAGAATATTCCTTTGAGAAAAGAATTCTGTTTCATGAACTTATGAATACCAAATACAAACACATAAATGCAATTGTTGTGGAAAACATTTCTGGTATGAAAAAGTTCCTTAGCGTCTTGGTTTCTTTTCCTGTTACTGTGATAAAATGTCCTGACAAAAGAGGCTAAAGGAGAAGGGTTAATTTAGTTCAGAGTTCAAAGCACAGCTCATCATGGTGGAAGAATTAAGACAGCAGGGACTTGAGGCTGCTGGCCACAGAGCATCTGCAGTAAAGAGGCAAAGAGAAGATGCTCTACTGCTTGCTTTCTTCACTCAGAATCTAGGACTCATCCAGGTTGGTGTCACCCATGATTGGTGGGTCTTCTCCCCTTAACCAATCAAATACATCCCAAAGCATGCCCAGAGGCCCATCTATCTCCAGGTGACCTTAAATTCTATCAAGTGGACAATTTACATTCATCATGACTTTGTAAGTATATCAAGATCTCTGTCAAACCTTACCTACTTGCTGAATTGTTTCTCTGTTGTTTAATTTTATATGACCTTCTCTAGATGAAATTCCAGAGTGATCTGTTTTTGCCTCTATTAAAATGTCTTCAGTGGCCTGTCACTTTGTGTGTGTGTGTGTGTGTGTATACATATGTGCACACATATGAATGCATGTATGTGGGGACACATCCCAAACTTATTCCCGGTTGTTTCACATACACTGTTGGCTCCTGAGGCTTTTGCTGAAATGATTACAGCTTATACAATATCTATGGAAAGTAAAGCTCCAATGTCAAGTGGATTTGCCAAGCAACATAATTGTTAAAAACGCTTCTGTCAGAATAGTTTTTCATTATAATTTTCTTCCTATTAAAATGTGATTAAATCAGTGCCTTTAATATAATTTTTGAGTTTGCTGATGCCATTACCATATAAATAACTCTTTATCTATGATTTTCAAAGTCTGATTAAATAAATGCTCACATAACATTAATGATTGCATTGCAAAAATGAGAGAATTCATATTTTTTATTTCAAATTAGTAAGCTATACACTAATTATTTGTGATTCAGTGACAGCCGCCAGAAACAGGGCTATTACTCAATTGGTCATATTAATGAACATACTTTTCATATTTAGAAGAGGCTGAGGGAAATTCTGTAGCTTTGAGAAAGCAAAGGCCAGTGGTGACTTTCTGTTTCTACATACATCAGAATGTTACGGAAATGGCAAAAATACAAATAACACAAAAACATTTATATCGATGGAAGGTATCAATTGCTTGAATGAGCTATGGTAACTTCAATTAAATATTTCAAGTCATCTTATATAAAATCACATGTCAATAGATTTTAGTGTGTCAGGAGTTTTTATTATCACAAAAATATTCTTCAGCACAGATAACAGTATATCTACCTGTTTGGGCCTCTGCACTCCGAGACTCTCCTTTAAAAATCAATAATTACAGTAGCCTCTGTGTTCTGATGGTTTGGCAGGTGATAATAAAATCATATCTCTTGCCTTTTGAGGATACCTGAGTCAGGTCTTCTCTGAAAGTCTTTCCTATTTACCTTTAAGCAAACTGAAAATCATCGCTGCAAGAGAGCATATTGAATTTTTCTTGGGCACAAATCAATATTCCTAGATATAATGAAATGCCAAGCCTGACTTTTCACACCTTGCTACAATGAACATCTCACTGCATTTCTGCAGTGGAGCAAGAAAATCATCCACTGACCAGCAGGAAACTATATCAAAGTTATGCTGCAAACCAGAAATTGACACACTGTAAAAACTGATGTCTAAAAACAATTACCTTCTGTCTATGGTCAAATGTTTTAGTAGAAGAAATTAACATTGAGACTGATTACAAAGATTAACACTGAAACACAACAGAGTGATATCCCCTACATCAACAGTTCCATGGTTGTTAATATAAGTGACATAAGTCACAATAATTTTTACACAAAAGTAATAGAAATTTGAAAGCAAATTTTGTTTAACAATAGTATTATAAAATGTTAAATCATTTTAGTAAAGACATTATCAGTGACTTGATGAAAGAATTTCAACCTTATTATAAAGAAATATAATGTTAAATTGGTGAAACTGTAGAATTGTTAAACATATGCACCTAGGAACAATAACAAAAACATTTGATAAGTCTTTACCATGTGTCAGGCCCAGCCTGTAACTTCAGTGCTAAGGTCAGATATAGGACAAGCCCTGCACGTCTCTGTCATCCAGCTGAATGTGTGAGACTCTGTCTCAAAAAGTAATGTGACAAGTGATAGATGAGGACACTTGATCAGCATCCAACCCCCCCGCACAAAATAAAATTCCAAATTCCATTTTCCATACATGAACCATCAAACCAGAACCTCCCCAAATTAGCTCATGTGCCCCTCAGGTTTCATAACAAATGTCGAAAGGCTGGTGGTCTAAGCAATAAGTGTTTATTTTCTACCAGTTCAGGGGGCGGAGAACTCAAAGATCAAGATGGCGGTCACTTCTGTTTCTGATGAAGGTTTTATTCCTGGCTTGTACACAGCTAGAGTCTTTGTTGAGAGCGGCGGGGATCAGAAATAGAGAGTACTCACAAGCTTTCTGGAGTCCTTCTCCTAAGGACACTAGTTTCAAAGAAAAGGGTTATGACTTAGTTTAACATTGTTGCAGAAATTATCTCCAAGTACAGTCATGTTGATGATCTATGCTCCACATTACAAATGTTGATAGTGCACACCTGAGTTCATATCAGAGCCCTACACAAGGTACTTTTATGCACTCTGATTTGTTCAGTCTCTTCATTATAAGAATTAAAATAATTAAAAGTGAAATGAGGCCGGGGTGGTGGTGCATGCCATTAATCCCAGCACATGGAGGCAGAGGCAGGAAGATCTCTGTGAGTTTGAGGCCAGTCTGGTCCACATAATGGGTTCCAGTCCAGCTGGGGCTACAGGGAGACCCTGTCTCAAATGGATGCATTTACACTAAGGGACATTTGGGTACAAATGCCTGAACAAATGAGACTTAACATGAATGACAGAATACATGAGGTTCAGTGGGGGAACAGGGGAGGCATGGATGGGTAAGGGGTTCTAAATTGGATTAAGAACTGTTATATGAAATTACAAAAGCTCAATAAAAAAATGAAAAAAAAACCTGTAACTTACCTACCCTTCTCTATCTTGTTGATTTAATTTTGGCAAAATAAGGGTTCTATGAGTCAGAA